CTTTCATGGCAGTTTTTATTCTTTTGTTGCAGAGATTAAGGGATGAAAGCGAGTTAATTGATGGGGCATTCAATTCTCCGTCGAATTGCCCTTTTTTCATCCCTTAATCTCAATTAGGAGGGGAGAGGTGAATTTTTAATTCGCGGGCGAATGCTGAAAAGTCAGTGTGCGCCGTGAAAGAATTATTTTTCTTACTGACCCCTGAGATTCATTGCAGTTTTTATTTTTTTGTTACAGAGATTATGGGATGAAAGAGGGTTTTTTGGTGGGGAATTTAATTCTCCGTCGAACTGCCGTTTTTTCATCTCCTAATCTCAATTAGGAGAGTAGAGGTGAATTTTTAATTACCGGGAGTCACCGTGCGCCGCGAAACTATTATTTTTCTCGCTGGCCCATGACTTTCATGGCAGTTTATATTTTTTTGTTACAGAGATTAAGGGATGAAAGAGGGTTAATTGATGGGGAATTTAATTCACCGTCGAATTGCCCTTTTTTCATCCCTTAATCTCTGTAACAAAAAAATATAAACTGCCATGAAAGTCATGGGCCAGCGAGAAAAATAATAGTTTCATAGCAGTTTTTATTTTTTTGTTACAGAGATTAAGGGATGAAAGAGGGTTAATTGATGGGGAATTTAATTCTCCGTCGAACTGCCGTTTTTTCATCTCCTAATCTCAATTAGGAGAGTAGAGGTGAATTTTTAATTACCGGGAGTCACCGTGCGCCGCGAAACTATTATTTTTCTCACTCGCCCATGACTTTCATGGCAGTTTTTATTTTTTTGTTACAGAGATTAAGGGATGAAAGTGGGTTATTTGATGGGGAATTTAATTCTCCGTCGAATTGCTTTTTTTTCATCCCTGAATTTCAATTAGGAGGGGAGAGGTGAATTTTTAATTCGCGGACGAATGATGAAAAGTCAGTGTGCGTCGCGAAACTATTATTTTTCTCACTGGCCCATGACTTTCATGGCAGTTTATATTTTTTTGTTACAGAGATTAAGGGATGAAAGAGGGTTAATTGATGGAGAATTTAATTTTCTGTCGCACTGACGTTTTTTCATCCCTTAATCTCAATTAGGAGGGGAGAGGTGAATTTTTAATTACCGAGAATAACTGTGCGCCGCAAAACAATCATTTTTCTCACTGGCACATGAATTTCATGGCAGTTTATATTTTTTTGTTACAGAGATTAA